GGGGACTCTGGGAGGAGGGAAAGGTACAGATACAGACCCCTGAGTGTTTGTGTGTTCTCGGGAACTAAGGGGGAAGAAGGGAGCATCAGTGAGAAATCCGGGGAAGATGGGCCAGGACGTCTGGCCCTGGAAGATCCCTGCAGTGCCTTAGAGTGCCCAGTGACCAAGCCCCTCCCAGGTGCCCGGCCTTGCTCTGCACGCAACATTTCATTTAAACTCCGGGCTGGGGCTGGGGCGGGGCATGAAGATACTAATCTCTATTTTTAAAGATGAGGAAACTGAGGCTAAGAGTATTGCCCCAGGTCACATAGGAGCAGGGATCCTCCCCTCACTAAATCAAGTGGCCAAGGTTCTTAGAATTTTGGAGGTGGGGGGCAGCAGTGGGGAGGGGTAGATATGGCCTGGAAGAAGCAGGCTGAGTTTGACTTCAGGAGAGTTCAAGGGCTAGAGGGGAGGGGGTAACTGAAGCCAGGCATTGTCCTTATCTCAAGTTTGTTTCCTTCCTTCCCCCACCCATTGGAGATGTGTGGCACATGGGCTCAAGAGCCTGGCAGACCACACTACAAATCCTTCTCCATCCCTCTCCAGCCAGGTGTCTCTGGGCAAGGCACTTCACCTCTGTGAGCTTCAGATTCCTGATCTGTAAAGTGGAGATATAATCTTATTCACAGAGCATTTGTAGGAGTTAAATAAGGTGAAAGTCCTCTGGCCCACTCCACAGCTGTTTTCTCAGCATTTAGGACAGTGCTGGGTACGTGGTAGGTGTCTGATAAATATTTGTTGTATGAATTTAATCAATCGTAGTGAGTCCTAAAGCCTTGGAGGTGGGGAAGAGACAGTGACCCAGCCCATCATCTGTAACCCCTTGATACTCTTACAACCCCAGATACCTCAGAGCTCAGTGTGGTTGAACAGTGTAGATGTGCCCACCCTCTTCATGAAGGCCTAAGCCTGGGAGACTCGGGGCTTACAGTGTGAGCCCTCCTTGGGCACACACTTGTCCATGGAGCTGGCAGCTTTGACTGTCCACTTCCTCCCAAGTAACAGATTGGCGTAGTGGATCAGAGTCCTCTTTTGAGAGACAGAAGGGGGTAGTGGGTAAGTCTGGGACCAGGCTGATTGTGTACAAATAGATGTGTGGCTTTGGACAACTTATTTAACCTGTCTGTGCCTCAGTATAGTAATACAGGTAATAATACTACAAAAAGGGTTGTGAGAATTCATTGTTTATTATATCTAAAGCACTTAGAACACTGTAAGGCATCAATAATCAACTCTCACTACAGTACAAACTCCTGAGGTTAGGGAATTTTATCTGTTTTACCACTGTATCCACAGAATTTGGAACAATGTCTGGCACGCAGTAAATATTTGTTAATTGAGTGAATGAATGAATCCATCCCAACCCCGCATTTCTCAAACCCAGGCAGATTTAACAACTTGCCTCTGGGTTGTAAGGGACTTTAACGTTACCTATTACAATTTCAGTTTGCATAACTTTGCAGATGGTATTAATATTTCACCCCAACCCCCATAAGACTGCTGGTCCCCACTCTGGTCAACCTAGAACCTAAGTCCTTTTTCTTTCCACCCAATGGTCCTGGTTCTACCCTGAGGTCACATAGAATGTGTCAGTCCCCTGAAGCTCCTAGTGTACCAAGCCCTGTTCCAGACACTGAGGCAGAAAGGAATCAGACACAGTCCCTGTACCTCAGGGTCATAGTCCTTGGGGAGATGCTTATCTTCAAACAATGGGTACAAGGCAGACCCAGCTAACAGACCCCAGCAGAAGGCCATGGGGAGAGGGTCTCCCATCTGAATAGGGGTTCTGAGTAGGGCCAGGGGATTGGGTGGAAGAATTGTAGGAATAGTTAAAGAACTGTATCCTTCACATCCCCACTCAACAGTGGCTAACATTCCCTTCCTCCCTTTCTTTCTCTCTCGACACACACCTACATTCTGGTTTTTTGTGTGTTTGAGCCATTTGAGATTAGGTTGCAGACATCATGCCCCTTTACCCCTAAATGCTTCAGTGTATATTTTCCTAAGAATATGCCTTTATCTTATATAGCCATAGTAATCAAATTCAGAAAATTTAACATTGATTATAATACTATTAAATAATATACAGTCTGTTTTCAAATTTCACAAATTATTCACATTATCCAATTTCTAATTTTTCCTCCTAATCCAGGAAATATTCTAGGATCACATTGCATTTGGTTGTTATGTCCCTCAGTTTGGGTTTATCTGTTATTTATTTCCTCATGATTACATTCAGGTTTTGCATTTTTGGCAGGAATACATCATAAATGATGTTGTATCCTTCTTAGTGTATGATTTGGGAGGAGCATGATGTCAGTTCAACCCATTGTTGGTGATATTAACTTTGATCATTTGATTAGAGTGATGTCTGTAAGTGTTCGCTGGCAGCAAGTAGGGAGGAATGGAGGTAGCCAGAATGGAGGCCTTGATGGTATTTGGGTGAGAGATGATGATGGTGCTGTTTAGGGAGGTATTGATTTGCCCAAGGCACATAGCCTCTTAGAGCCAGAACTGGGACTAGAACACAGATATCCTGATGCCTGATCCATGTTCCTCACGTACCTCCAATTTAAGACCCCAGTGCCATTAAATCAGTGATAAAAAGATAAGGGACCAGTGTCTTAGGAAATCCAAGCTAAGGAGAGTTCCTGCCCAGCAAACCCCTACACATGACCAAAGACTCTTCCAAATATCACTGTATAATCTTCCCTGACTTCTGCAGGCAGAGTTATTTACTCCTACAATGCCTCAGATATCCTGCATGTTCCATCTTATAAGCTTTCAAGCATCTGTTTTCCCTACAAAACCATGTGTGAATCATCAAGAACAAGGTCTGTAGTTGATTCATCTTGGGTTCTACAGTACCCAACACAGGGCCAGGCTCAGTGTTTATGGAGTCAGTTAAGTCTTAGCTCTGAGCTTCCTAGCAACCAAGGCAGAAGGGGAAAGATCTGTTTTGTGGCTCAGCTTTCTTTTTTAATCAAAGGAAGAAAAACAGTGCTTGGTGTTAAGTGTTGCTAATAGGAAAAATCTGAGTCAGACTGAAATATTAACAGGGTACCTGTTACATTCCCATGTCTGATTTGAAGGACGAGGGGAAGGCAAAAAGGTGTTAATGATCAGGTTCCATAGCAGGTCTCGTGGAAAGGCATTTTCCACGAGGATTTACCAACAGTAGGAAGAAAGTGGGGGAGGCCATTTTGTGATAAACTATACCTAAAATTTACCATTTTAACCTTTTTAAAACCATATTTAAGCATACATTCCTGTGGCATTAAATATATTCACATTGTTGTACGACTATCACCATTATCCGTCTCCAGAACTTTTATTTTTTGAGACAGAGTCTTGCTCTGTCACCCTGGATACAGTGCAGTGGTGTCGTCATAGCTCACTGCAGCCTCAAACTCCTGGGCTCAAGTGATCCTCCTGCCTCAGCCTCCGGAGTAGCTGGGACTACAGGCACACCACCACGCTCAGCTAATTTTTTCTGTTTTTAGTAGAAACAGCGTCTCACTCTTCCTCAGGCTGGTCCAGAACTTTTTCATCTTCCACAGCTGAAACTCTCAACTCATTCAATACTCCCCATTCCCTGCCTGCCCCCAGCCCCTGGCAACCACCAGACAGAACTACTTTCTGTCTCTATGAATTTGACTATTCTAGAGATTTCATGTAAGAGGGACCATATAATATTTGTTCTTTGGGTCTGGTTTGTTTAACTTAGCATAAGGTCTTCAAGGTTCACTCATGTTGTAGCATGTATCAGAATTTTATTCCTTTTTAAGGCTGAATAATATTTCATTGTATGTATATACCCACATTTTGTTTAGTCATTCATCCATTGATGGACATTTGGGTTGTCTCCACCTTTTGACTAATGTGAACAATACTGCTGTGAACATTGGTATATAAACATCTGTTTGAGTCCCTGCTTTCATTTCTTTTGGGCATATACCCAAAAGTGGAATTGCTGGTCATGTGGTAATTCTGTGTTTATTTTTTTATTTTATTTATTTTTTTTGAGACAGAGTCTCACTCTTTTGCCCGGGCTAGAGTGAGTGCCGTGGCGTCAGCCTAGCTCACAGCAACCTCAAACTCCTGGGCTCAAGCGATCCTCCTGCCTCAGCCTCCCGAGTAGCTGGGACTACAGGTATGCGCCACCATGCCTGGCTAATTTTTTTCTATATATTTTTAGTTGTCCGATTAATTTCTTTCTATTTTTAGTAGAGACAGGGTCTCGCTCTTGCTCAGGCTGGTTTCGAACTCCTGAGCTCAAACAATCCACCCGCCTCGGCCTCCCAGAGAGCTAGGATTACAGGCGTGAGCCACCGCACCCAGCCTTAATTCTGTTTAATGTTCTGAGGAACCCATACTGTTTTCCACAGCAGCTGCACCATTTTACATTCCTGCCAGCAATGCAAGGGTTCCAATGTCTCTACATCCTTGGCAACACTTGTTATTTTCTGTTTGTTTTTTTGTACAAGTTGAATTTCTCTAATGTGAAAATCCAAAGTCCAAAGTGCTCCAAATTTGAAACTTTTTGAACGCTGACATGACACTCAAAGGAAGTGCTCATTGGAGCATTTTGGATTTCATATTTTTGGTTTAGGAATGTTCAACTGGTAAGTACAATGTGCGTAATCCAAAATCCAAAAAAATCCCAAACCCAAAATATTTCCAGACGCAAGATTTCAGATAAGGGATGTTCAGCCTGTAATAGCCATCCCAATGGGTGTGAAGTCCCTGGAGATTTTGAAATCTGGGTTAGACCACTGAGAGAACTTCCTCTTTGGAGAGGGAGGGGCACAATAGGTTAGGGGTTATGGGCATACTTGGGCCTGTCCACATCATGAGCCTCTCAGAAACCACAAGTGCGAAGCTCCTCGGGTCAGCCCAGGAGTTTGTCCCTGACCTCTGATCCTGACTCCTTCCTGGTCCCCCGTCCCCTGCAGGTGCCTGGCTGCAGCAGACCATGCAATGAACCATGCCCCGCCCTGGACATCCCCGCCCATCATCTGGGCCTCCACGCTTGGGACCCTGGGAACAGCCAGCAGAGCTATGTCTGGAGACGTATGACAAGCCACCCCAGCCCCCACCAAGCCGCCGCACTCGTAGGCCAGACCCCAAGGACCCTGGTCACCATGGGCCAGAGAGCATTACCTTCATCTCTGGCTCTGCTGAGCCGGCCACTGAGCCCCCCACCTGCTGCCTGCTATGGCGACCCTGGGTGTGGGACTGGTGCAGGGCTGCCTTCTGCTTCCGCCGCTGCCGGGATTGTCTTCAGCGCTGCGGAGCCTGTGTGCGGGGCTGCAGCCCCTGCTTGTCTGCTGGGGACTCTACTGAAGGGGCTGCTGAAGCCAGCTGGGCCAAGGAGCACAATGGAGTGCCCCCCAGCCCCGACCGTGCACCCCCCAGCCGGCGGGATGGCCAGCGGCTCAAGTCAACCATGGGCAGCAGCTTTAGCTACCCTGACGTCAAGCTCAAAGGCATCCCTGTATATCCCTACCGCACCACCACCACCTCCCCAGCCCCTGACGCGGACTCCTGCTGCAAGGAGCCACTGGCCGAGCCCCCACCCACACGGCACAGCCTCCCGAGCACCTTTGCCAGCAGTCCCCGTGGCTCTGAGGAGTACTACTCCTTCCATGAGTCGGACCTGGACCTGCCCGAGATGGGCAGCGGCTCCATGTCGAGCCGAGAGATCGATGTGCTCATCTTCAAGAAGCTGACGGAGCTGTTCAGTGTACACCAGATTGATGAGCTGGCCAAGTGCACATCAGACACTGTGTTCCTAGAGAAGACCAGTAAGATCTCGGACCTCATCAGCAGCATCACGCAGGACTATCACCTGGACGAGCAAGATGCTGAAGGCCGCCTGGTACGCGGCATCATTCGCATCAGTACCCGAAAGAGCCGTGCCCGCCCACAGACCTCAGAGGGACGTTCGACTCGGGCTGCTGCTGCCCCTGACAGTGGCCATGAGACCATGGTGGGCTCAGGTCTCAGCCAGGATGGTAGGTGGCACCCCATGGGACCGAGGGGCAGAGTAGGGGAGGCTCTGGCCAAGGGAGGGTTGGACTAAGGTCGCTAGCCATTGTGGGCCACCCCTCAGCAGGTCCTCACTCCTCCTCCTTTCTCACAAACTATTTTGTGTCCTCCTCAGCTCCCTCCCTGGTCCTTCCCAGTGAGGTCTGAGCAAGGCTGAGAGACATGCAGACGCTGGCAGCTCTCTGGCCATTGCTGCTGTCCCCAGAAAGGACAAGGTTCTCTCTCCATTCAATAAGCTCACCTAATAGGTTCCTCCTTCCCTGCTATCACCTGCCAGAGTATCTTCTAGGCCTGGTTAACACAACTGGGGGACCCACATGAATTTAGACCCCTGACCCCATGTGGCATAACCAAAACAACTACCTAACACAGCTTGTGCACACACACGTTTTCTATGTGTCTTTGTTTTAAGCGTTATTTTTTTAGCCCTCCCCAGGGGTGAGAGGCTCCTCCCTCACTGGGCTGAGGGCAGAAATGGAGAGCGGGGTTGAAAGGATGTGATAATGACCATTCCCCTCCCCATGTTCCCTCCCTAGAACTGACAGTGCAGATCTCCCAGGAGACGACAGCGGATGCCATCGCCCGGAAGCTGAGGCCTTACGGAGCCCCAGGTGTGGTCCTGACCTGATGAGGAGTACAGAGGGTGGGGGGACTACCCTAGGGGACCCTCACATGCCCCTCTCCCAGCTTCCTTCGTGGGGTGGTGAGCATGGCATCAAAAAGGTACAAGGGGCCTGAGCAGCCACAGACCCATCCCAGTCCTGAAAACTGGCTTAAAGCAGAGGCCAAGTGCCCAGAACAGGCAAGCAGGAAGTGATCAGACCCCAACCTTTAAGTCCAGGTCACTGGGGAGGAAGGTGGCAGGTGGGAAGCCATCCAGCATGGTGCTAGAAAGGCACCCTGTGTGGATTCTGCTGCTGTCTTCTTGCCCTTCACAGCAACCCCCTGGGAGCAAGGTCATTATCCTTTTACAGAGGGGGAGGCCAGGGCTCAGAGAGGTCCAGAAACTGAGTGAGTCACCCAGCCAGGATCAGACTGACCCAGGCTCAAGTCCTGCTCTGCTCCTTCTCAGCAGGCTTCTCCTTGGCTGTGGACTCTGGATGAGGTCTGTCCCCTGAGCCTGTTTCCTCCTCTCCCTCCCCCCTCAGGGTACCCAGCCAGCCACGACTCATCCTTCCAGGGCACCGACACAGACTCGTCAGGGGCACCCCTGCTCCAGGTGTACTGCTAACCCCCACCAGGCCCAGCATCCACAACCCCTTCTGGGAGAAGCACAGCCTGCAGAATGAAGAGGGGGACCAGGAACCCATTCGGGGAGGCTGACCATGAGCCCAGAAGCACTGCCCACTCTGGTTCCTCCTGCCTTGGCTGACTGGCTCCTGGACCACGTGCATTTCACTGGGCCTTAATGTCCATGTCTCCTTCTTCCCCAGCGGCCTGACCCCTGCCTGGGCCTGTTCCTTCCTGCCCATGGTCTTCAGGTGGCGTGATCATGGGAAGCAAGGACTTAGGAATTACCTCCTGGGACTGAATCCTGACTCCATCCCTGTAACATAACACTAACCAACCATGCAGACTTCACCCTCCTTGGGCTATCCAACAGTTAAAAGAAGTTTGTCTTAAATGTGTTGGATTGGGAAGCGGGCAGTGCCCAACTCTGTTCTGTTCTGTTGAGCAGTTTGTTCTTGTTCTTGGCTGATGTTCCATGTTAACATGACCATAGTTTGTAAGCACAAAGGTAATAGGATCTGCTTGGTCATCTTAGTCATGACACTGTCCTTTCTCTTCCATTTGCCTCGTGTAACTGCTGCTCAGAGTAGGAGACAAAATCTGGTGTTCAGCATGGCTTAGTGTTGTGGGGTTGAAGTCAAAAGGATAAAATGGGAGCAATGGTGCCCACGTCTCAGGTTCACTGAGTTCCAAGAGCCAAGCAGTGTCTGCACCTGAGAAAGCTTTGACCAGCAGTTTTGTCATTATTTAGAGGTTGTTCTGCTTCTGTCCATCCATCCCTCAGTTTCCCCAGATCCCTGATCATTTTTCAGTCCCCGCCAACCGTGGGCCTGCTGCTCCCCTCTGCCTCTCCATGGTGCTAACAGAGCACTGTGGTTTTCACTGCTACCTTATTAGCTTTTCCAACAACCTTGGGAGTAGGGTCATTACTCTTTCAGAGAGGGAACCTGGGGCCAAGGAACTTAGTGGGACATGCAGTAACTGTGGCTCATAGGATCCCTTTGTTTGGATACTAGAGCCCAGCTGGGTTCAGAGGTATCCTTTTGGCAGGCCATGCCTGACTAACGAATAATCTGGAACATACTGGTGACCCACCCACCCACCGCCCCCACTTAGTCCACAGCCCATTTTATTCCCACCAGTACCCTTTGGGAAGTGACAACTTGTTTAGCCAGTTTCCTATCAGATACACAAGATGGTCCCTCGGGGCTATGATCATGGGCCCAGTTGTGCCTCCAGCTCCAGCAGTAAAACTGGCCCCTTAGGCTCTGCTGTCTCATCCAGGTCAAGGCCTCTCCAAGACTGAAATAACCACAGGGCAGAGCAGGACAACACAGTCCTTCCACTCTGGCCTTGGCCTGAGAGCACCATTTTCCAAACTCAGCCTTGCAAACCACTATTTGCATTCCCAGAAAAAGAGTTCATCGAGTTTGGGAAACAGACAAAGCCAGGTACTGCATGGACTCTGAAATCCTTAAGCTATTCTGAAATTCAAAAAAGGACATGCTGTTCCAGAAATTCAGGGGTCCCACAGGCTACAGAACAAAGCACTCAGGGCAAGTCAACCTAGACATTCTTGCCATAACCTCTGTGGCCCCTGCTTTCAGGGTTCCTCCTCTGGCCAAAGCAGAGCAGGAGTCAGCTCTGTGGGCTTGATCCTCCTCAACTCTGGCACTACCCTAGGCTGGCTCTGAGAAGGCCTAGAATCTGCAGAGGTCCACGTCAGAGACACACACGATGGGGCCCCACTGGACTTTACCCTGTCCTCCTGGCCAGGTGCCTGTACCACTCATAGAGCAGATCTGAGGCCTGGGCTCGTCCCCTGGCCCCCCTCCCATAAGTTAGGCAGCGTCACCCCAGCCCTTGCTGCTCTCCTGCTCCGGGAAACAAACAGTTCATAGTCTGAAAAACACCTGATTCAGGGTTGGAAGGCAGACCCACAGCAGTGGGAAGTTGTCTTAGAAATTGAATCAAGTCCAGCTGGTCTTAAACTTTGCTGAGTCATGGGCCCCCTTTGATACTCTGACATATGTTCTAGTCTCTGTAGCCAGAAAAACTTACCTTTGCTTAGAATCATGCACAGACTAAAAGCCTTGTTTTAATTCCTTCTTTAAGTAATGAAGAGAAGAGGGGCAAGGACTTGCCCTAGGTCACATGGCATAATTTAGGCTAGAAGCCAAACCCCCAGTTCCCCACAGCAGCCATAAGAGGCCTGACCCCAGAGAAAGGCCAAAGGGAGGAGAAGACACAGGTGGAGCTGGGTAAATAGCTTTAATGTGTAACAGTAGGCAAACTGGGGAGGACAAGGCCCCCAAGGCCCCAGCCCTTCTCCTAATGCCCTGGGACCTGTGTGCCTGGGCCAGTTCCATGCCTGCCCCAGCCCTGAGGCCCTCAAGTCCCAGAGAAGGGTGGGAAAGAAAGCTGGACGTCTGGGGGCTCAGCCCCAAGAGTTCAAAGAGGCAAACAGGGGCTAGTTGAATTTAGCCTTGGAAAAATCCATCTCTGGATGCTGATCCATGAACCTGGGGAAGGGGAAGAAGGAAGGTCAAACAAGGTTGTTCCTTCCCCCAAAAGCTAGTTCTTTCTCTCAGCCTCCCCCATGTAAAGTCAGATTAGACTTTAGACACTGAGCAACCTGGAGCCAGCCCCAGGGTATCCGAGGCTCATTCAAACCAGAGGCTGGAAGCTGAGGTGCCAACACTGGCACTGTTTTCTTGTAGGTAGCAATGACCGCATATTACCCCTTCCCTCCTACCCTGAGCTGCTGGCCTTGCCCTCAAGATGACCTGTGCAAGTGATAAGGGTAGGCCAAAGGCATAAAGCCATAAACTTGGCTGGCTCATCTTGGAAGGGGGCGGGACAGGGCAGCTCCTGAGTCCTGTTCAGTGATTCACTTGCTGCTGTCGCCTAGGTCTTATCCCCCAGGAACCACGCTCCCCACACCCCCATCTCTGAATTGCTCACTTCTTCAAAATTTCCTGTTTCTTCTGTTCATCTGAGGTAGGCAGCCCCATGGACTTCTGTCTCTGGTCATACATCATCTTTTCCACCATGCTGCGGGTCTCACTGTCCAGGTCTGACAGCTGAAAGCAGGCAGTGACAGGGATGAGTGAAGCTCTGGGACCACCCAGACCCCTCAACCTTCCCACTGAAGCTCTCCCAACCAGCCAGGGCTCACCTTGGAGTTCTCAGGGTTAATCTTCTTGGTATTGATCTCAGGGTCACTGGCCACCAAGCGGCTCCACCACTCCATCTTATTGATCTGCGAAGAGGAAGAGAACCATGGGATGGGAGAAGACATCCTCTATGCCCCAGGAATCACCCCTCAACCCTTCCATAACCAAACTCTCTCCCATCCGCATCCTGCACCTGAGACCCATGCAGGCCTGTGTCAGACTCTGCCAGCCCGGCAGCTAGGGCGACAGACACAGAGGCAAACAGTTACACATCTGTGTGATAAGGGAAAGAAAAAAGCATAAAGGGAGATATTCATCCAGAATGGAGGGACAGAAGTCAGAAAGTGACACTTGGGCGGAGGCTTATGACGCAAGCAGTATACCAGATTAAAAATGGAAAGGAAAAGAAGCAAAGCAGGGAAGGACATTCCAGTGAGAAGGAAAAGCAAGTGCAAAGGCATGGAGGTGCGAGCAAGAGGCAGCCAGTGCCAGTTAGGCAGCTGGGACAGGGCCCATGTACCACGGGAAGTTTCCCTTGGACCCTTAGTCCTTTAGAGAGACCTCCTTTATTTACGGGTGTCTGTGTCCCAAACCTCTGTGAAGGTAGTGCGGTAGAGAACACAGGCTTCCTATGGCTACGTATTTTTCTACATTTTGTTCACTGTTCTCTCTCCAGCACTTAGAGTAGTACCTGGCACTGTTCTAAGTGTTCAGATATTTGATGAACTGAATGCATGCACTAACCTGGTGGAAAGGCAAAGGCTTTGATACCAAAGACTGTCTCAATCCTGACTCCACCCCTTCTTAGAGGTAGGAGCTTGGGCAAATCACTGAGCTCTTTTCCTGACTCTAAAATGGGAACAGACAGACTTTAAAGAGTCTTGTGGGGATGACATAAGACAATTCCACAAGGCCCCCAGCGTGGCCCCTGAGCGAATAAACGCACACCCTCTCCTCTTCCTCCATCGACACCCAGGCTGGCAGCCGGGCCTCATACCTTCTCCAGATGCACAGTCACCACCTTGCCATCCTCGATGAGCCACGAGCTCTCCTCCACCTTCACTTCGTTGTAGAGCTCCCCGTCAATGATGGCCGGCTGCCCCTTGAGCCCCACACGGAGGTGCCGCCGCTGGATATCCACGACCGCATCCTTCCCCTTCAGCCGAAAGTTCACGTGGAAGGGCACTGCCAGCTGCATGGGGCAGAGGCAGTCAGGAAGGGCCACGGTGCTACCAGGACCCCAGGCTAGTTCCCTAACTTTCACCCTGGCCCCGGCCACTCACGTCCAGCTCCGACAGGGTCTGGGTCCAGCGGTAATTTGGCAGGTCTGCCCCATTGCCTAGGTTGGGCTTCAGTTTTCCTTTGTCCTTCTCGTCTTCCTCCTCCTCATCTTCCTCAGCCTCCTGCTCACAGTCAGGGGTGCTCAGATACTTACTTGACAGACACAGACTGAACCCTCACTGGGACAGGCCCAGGGCATACAGCCACAAAACAGAGCTGGTCCCTGCCTGCTCCATGGAGGGGCAGACCCCCAAGGCCTGATCCACTGGGAACCAGAGGAAAACCTGGTTCTGATCTCTGCTTGAGAGGAGCTCAGACTATTATACCATGTGACAAAGGATAGGGCCGGGTCCCCAGACCACCTCAGATGGGACCTGTAACAGGCACTGTCCTCTCTGGCTCTTGGGCTTTACTGCCCAAGGCTCAAGGTCAGAGGATTTTTGTGTTTTTAACCTGGAGCCTTTGGTCCAGTGTCTCTGAGTGGGATCTTGAAGTACAGGGAAAATCCCCAGAGCTGGGAGCGGGGTAGGGGAATAGGGGAGGATATTCCAGAGAAAGGGGAAGGCTGGAGTCTCTGAAGTTCCCAAGCCTCTGGCCAGTCCCGAGTGTCTCCAGCCCATCTCACCTGCTTCCCTGGTGAGCTAAGGCTGCCATTCTTGACCTGGGCCTCATGGGTCTCTGCATCCTTTTTCTGTGGCAAAGGGCACAGCAGTTGGCAATAGGACCCCCACTGCCAAGTTCCAGTGAGGACATGAGGGGTGGAAGAGAGAAGCCCAGCCCCACCTGGTCAATCTCCAGCTGTAGCCTCTCTGCCTCCTCATCAGTCAGCTCCTTGATCTGGGGCCCAGGCGGCTCTGACTTGGCTTCTTTGGCCAGCCTGGCCGCCCGCTCTGCCTTTTCCCGCCGCTCAGCCTCCTGCCGAGCTTTCTTCTCCCGCCGGGCCTTCTGTGCCAGCTGATTGTGGTGGCTGAAGGTCTGTGTGATAAGCTGGAGAAGGAAAAGAAGGGGATGAGGTATCAGAGCAGGGGACAGTGTCCCACGGCCTGGAGTCCAGC